ATGCATCATATACAAATTTTGATTTGTTACTATAAAGTAAATACTAGTAAAAATATTTACCGAATGTCTTGAACTCCTTCACTATTGATGATGGATGAGGGAATCGGTTCCCGGTTGTAACTTCAACGACTTGAGGTTACTCGCTAGAGGAATCCAAGTGTCTTCCCTCTAAACGTATCCACCCTATGAAGCCCGGTTCCGACGACTTTCCTTCGCTAGTAGAAAAGACTCGGTTTTCTTGTATAGGAATATTTATGAATTTTATTTGGGAATTTTAAGAACTCTTTCTTGAAGTTTTATGAAGAACACTTTCTTCTCTTTCTAACACTTAGAAATTTAGGATCAAAAACTTCACTTAAATGCAAAACCATTTTGCATATATTTATACTAAACATTTTAGCATAAAATAATCAACATTTAGTAATATTAAATAAAATCAAATTTTATTTAAATAGTATTTACTAACTTTTGACTTTGAAAATAATAAGATATGTTAAGTAGTTCAAACAACCATCAACAACCATTTTATTATAATCATATTTATTATTTTAATCCTTAAATCATATTTAAAGATATAAATAATAATTGGATAATAAATCTTGAGAATCTTTCTCAAGACTTTATTATTATATCATTTTCCCAATATTATAATAATCATATTATTATTATTTTGGATTTTTGAAATTTAAAATCCTATTTTAAAATTCAACTTTATTAATTTAGTAATTACCTTAATTACTAAAGTAATATCCAAAATGTAATTAATCAATCTTATTGATTAATATATTCCTTTAATTGATATCTAATCAAATTAGATATTTATCAATTAATTCTAACCATTAGAAATACAATCTTTACCTTTGTTCATAATTAGTGTGACCTTTTAGGTTCACCTTAATACTAGTAGTGGGTTTACAACACTTTGTAATTTGAGTTAAATCTTATTAACTCTTATTCATGAATTAACCCTTTAATTTATGAACCCACATATCATGGTAACACCTAGCAAGTAGCATGAATCTAGTATTAAGTGAATAGCGAGTAAACCTATTCCGATTACAACTCCATACATGTAAAATCCTTTCGACATCTAATTTCCCGATTAAGTCTTGGGTATGATTTTGTCGAAACCCAAATTGACTTAATAACTATGATTCTATTTCATGTTTATTAACCCGGTTATGAATCACTATTCATCTCTGCCTTGGCCAAGGACTTTGGATTAATAACTATGAAACACATAGGAAATTCACTTATCTTCATAAGTGTCGAATCCTTTATTGGCCACTAACAAACTTCCATACATATTAACATAATACCCAACTTATCCCTTTAAACGATAGTGCTAGCTACCAAAAGGATAAATCAAAGTAGAATGTAATATGCACAAAGTTACCATTGTGCCTCAAGTCTTAGGATTAGTCATGTACTATTGTAACATGAAAATTCTTATTCGACTGAATAAATTCTTCATTAAGAATTTTCATACGGTCATGTTCAGTGAACTTGTTCTCTAACAAGCACCCACATAAATGTACTTACGTCTTACGCTAATGTTGATGGAATGCAACATTCTTGTCCAACAAGCATACAAACTATGTGCAAGTCTTTTATGGATTATTCGATATCCCATCTCGAAACATCCATCGACTTGGAACTGTATTTAAGATCACGGCCTTCAAGGTATGTTCCATGATCACCATCTCTATGCGCAACCATACCTTATAACCATAAGTGATCTAGGGATTTTATCTTAAGTGCAATTATAAGATAAATGCTTTCTCTTAAGATAAATAAATGCCTTATTCATAATATAATTCCAATAGATTGTATTTACAAGTAGAATACGTCCAATTAGATTGGAACGCCGGGTACCCTACTCTAACAATTATTACGTTATTTATTTGGTTCTAATGTTATGTAATGTATTACCAGGGTCACGCTGGAGTCTTAGGAGACTTAACATGCATACGGGTTACAAGGAACCAATTTTCGCGCCGTTGAGATTGCGGGTCTCGCATTACTGTATGGATTTATTGAATTATGAGCTTAAGAGGATGCGAGAGTTGAGCGAAGAAGTTGCCGATCGCTGCGGGTGTGTACTCTGGTACACTCATGGACTTCCTTGTGCCTGTGAGCTAAAGAAGGCACTCACTATAGATATGGAAATTACTACCCAATTCATCCACAGGTTCTGGTGCACACTAGAGCTGACGGACCCAGGTACAATTACGAGATTGATTAATTTGTAGAGTGTGTTGTTTAATTTTATAAATTATTTTTGCGGACATGTCAACAGAGTGCACCGGCGAGCGGATGGACTGATCGTGACTATTTTTATCGCCTTGCTGCGGAGCTTGAAGCGGCCGATCCCGCGACGCTGCGGTACGTGAATCAATTCATCGACTCGCAACTTCACCCCGACCAACAAGGTTACAAAGAACCTGAAGTGAAGGATAATCCGAGAGGTCGGCCCAAGAAGCCAAATTCAACAAAGCGCGATCTATCGAAATGGGAGTACAGTCAAAGACGCCGTAAAAGCACTTCCTCGTGTGCTCCATCGCAATCGGAGTACACCGAAATAGGTCGCCAGGTGGGGCGTAAAAGCACTTCTTCGTGTGCTCCATCGGTATGGGATTACAGGGAAAGAGGTCGTCCGGTGGGGCGTAACAACAGTTCTTCGTGTGCACCGACAAGCTCATCTTCTCAACATTCAGATGAGCCGACAGGTGATTTTTTTTTCTTATTTATTTGTTTATGTTGAACGATAACTAATTATGTTTGTAAGTTCGATTATCTAATTTGTGACGTGAAATTATTATGATATTACAGATACTTTCTCGACGGTTTTCTACGAATATCCGCATTATTGGAGAATTCCCTACGTAATCCACCCTTACGTAGAGAGCTATCTGGATGTGACGCCGGATGAGAACTGCGGATTTCGGGTGGTTGCGAGTTACATGCACATGAACCAGTTGAGGTGGCCAGTGGTAAGAAGGAACATTGCAAATGAGATTGCAGCCAACAGACAGTTGTACGATCCTGTGTTTTACTATGAAACCGACAGAGCACTCGATCGGATAAGATGGGACGGGGGGCCTTGTA